TCTCTCTGTCAAATAAATAAAATCTTTAAAAACAAAAACAAAAAAAAAGATAAGCTGAATGAGCCAAGTGTTTACTTAGAGTCCATTTCAGCTCTGGTGTAAGAATGTCTTACCTTTATGAATATCATCAAGGGTGATCTGGTTGGCGAGGTTATTCTGTTTAGGGTAGGACAGGAAGAGGAAACTGTAATATTAGCAAAAACAAAAGGGTATAGCAATGACCTTGTTCAAATTGTCAGGTCATCCGTTGTGGGGTGTGTGAGGCTTTGTCTGTGGGAGCAAGGGTTGGGCTGCAGTGGGCTCCCCGTGTTCTCCTGTCCTCTTGCTGGAGCACTTGGTGTGTTGTCCTCCCCTGGGCAGGCGTGGATGTGATGCTCACCCTCTGTGGGGTGCATCCCCCTTTTGGCTTCTGTGATCCCCTCAGCAGCACAGCAGGCCTTTGAAGTGCAGGAGCCCAGAGGAGCATCCAAGACTCTGGATTCTGGAGTAGACGGCCTGGGGCCAGGTCCTCCGTCTACCGCTCGCCAGCTTCACGACTGTGCACAACTTAATTGCTTTCTGCACCTTGCGCTTCCTTCATCTGTATAATGGGTGTAATAATAGTCCCTACCTCACAGGGGTAAATGATTGTAAAGAAAGAAGAACCGTCAAGACGTGGAGTTGAAATGACCTGATTCTGGTCATCTGGTGCCATTGTTTTCAGTACGGGAGGTGAGCCTCCGGGAGACCCACAGTAACGTTTCCTCTCTCCTTCCTGCCCATGTGGGAAGAATTTCTCATTTCTTGTATTGAATGCCAGGGGAAAAGTTTGATAGCATGTTTTTACTAGAAATACAAATAATTATCATGAAAATGACTGTTGCCACCTAAGAAATGGAATTAGCTAAACTAAAAGGGACCTTTTTTTTTATATAAAGCGCCCCCCCCCCCAAATAAAGCCCAAGTAGTTTTTGTAGAGTTACTGCACCTAAGATTAGTTATGGTAAGTGACAGTCTCATCCTATTTATGGGTGAAAATATTAAAAACATAATCAGCCATCTGTTTAAAACACAACACCACACGATTTCGTTGAAATGATTCGGCTCTGCTGCTTTAATCTTGAATTTGGCTGGGTTGCATGTGAGTTGATTTTTTTCCCATTTGAGATGAGCGCAATAAGGTGGGACCCCAGATGTGAGTCCACCAGGAGGAAAAACCGTTTGTGAATTTCATGTCGGTCTAGAAGTCCAATTTGACTTACACCCGTGGGCAGTGTGTGGTGCTGGCTGGGTCTGCATCATTATTCTGAAGTCTGTGCTGATGTCCTGTGACTAATATGTTCCAGCTGTCTGGGTCACTACTTTGGAGTACTATTTATTTGCGGTAGTGATGCTGCAAATAGGAAAAGCTTTCCCTTTTGTTGGTTGAGAGCTCTGCTGGTAATTAGCAAAACAAGCATGCCTCTTATTTGGGAGAGATTGGAAAGGCGGCTGAAGGGTACATTGTACACAACCACAGTGGAAAACAATTTGGCATTACTTAGAAGAGCTGAACACGCGCACTCCCGAGCTCAGTCCTCCTCTCTTAAGTGTATACCCTGTAGAAACGCGGTATGTGCCCCAGGGACAGGCACTGGAATGTAAATAGCGTTGTTCATAATAGCAAAAACTGACAAAACCCCAGGTGATCCTCGGTGGAATGGAGCGGTGAGCTGTGGGTCTGTTCACACAGAGGGAACTGTATAGATAGTGGTGATCATCAACCACGGCCACGTGAGTCGCCAGGGGTGAATCTCAGAATCCGCATCGGAAGAGGCAAGTCTTAATACATACACTCCGGTTTTACTTTACATTGGTTTTAAAACCTGGCAAAATGCAACCACATACTGAGAATATGTATGTGATGAAAACATACGCCCGAGCGGAGGAATTAAATCAGAATTGGGGCTAGCGGTTAACTGTGCAGGGGAGTGGATGGAGGGAGTCAGGGAGGGGCACACACGTCTTCCATAAAACCCCACAAAACCCCCAGACCCAGCCGCTGGGGTATCGGGTGCACGGGCTTTGTTTCCATTATTCTCTAGTCTGACATATGGTCACCGAATAACAGGGTACCCCAAATGGAGCAGCTTAAAACACTGACCAACACTGGTCATCTCACAAGGTCTGTGCGTGGGCAAGACGTCGGGACAGCTTGGCTGGGTGGTTCTGGTTCGGTGTCTCCCATCTGGTTGTGGTCCAGGTAGCCGCGGCAGCAGCCGTCCTCAGAAGGCTCGGTGGGCTCGAGGTGCAGCTCCCGGGCTCCCCAAGGCTGTTGTGCTGAGGGCCCTCCCAGGACAGAGTGAGGAGGCTGCCCCGGGCCCCAGCCGTTCAGATTCGACTCCCATTTCCCCCGGCTGGATGGAGAGACGTGCACGTTCAGTGGGCAGTAGGAAGAGGGGCAGGAAGCTCCCCGTATGCTCAGTGGGGGGGGGGGGGGCACCAGAGCTTGAGTGTGGGACGCAGGATCATTGGCGCCTCCTCCGAGGCTGGTTCCTGTGCTTGTGCACTTTCTGATCTACTTCACGATAAAGTTTTTCTAGACAAGCCGAACTGGGAAGCTTATTTTGCGTTAGTAATGGTGCGGGCACTCATCGACATGACAAGGATGTGGGTGCCACACGTTTGCAGTGTGGGGCTGGAGCAGAGTCCGTGGTGGGAGCTGACTTGGGGGGAGGGGGCCCTGGCTGCTGACAGCACCTGTGGGGGGGTGGGGGTGGGCAGGGCAAAGAGGGACCCGGGGAGTACGGACCCCAGGACGTGTGGTGTCGACGGGACCACATGTGCCTAGATGTCCCGTCTACCTGTGTCCCTGGATCGGGTGGAAATCTGGGACTCGTGATTTTTGAGGAGAATTCTCTGGGCTAAGGGCCACTGGTACTGTCCTGGGCTCACCATGATATTGAAGTCTCTACCAGCCTCAACTGTTCTCCCGAGACCCCCTTTAATGAGAAAGGAGAGCCCACCCCTCACTCCCTTCCCCTACAAGTGAGGGTGTAGCTGGAAATGAACTGGACAAGTAAGGATAGGAGTTTGAGCTTAATTCATGCTGTGATTACATTGTGCTCGCAATGTGTGTTTGTTTTATTAGCAAGTTTTCAATTGCTGTTTCATTTGCTTATTCTCACCAAAATCTCTGAGTAAAACTGATGTTTCCAAAGGAGCGTCATGTGTTTTCCCTTGGATTTGGGTAGCTTTTGGCCTAACTTCCTGGTGAGTGTTCCTGGGGTCCAGGTGCTCTGGCGTGTGAGGCATCAAGACCCATCCTATCTCCTTGTGGGTTGCAGCATCCTTGGGAACAGGTGCTCCCCAGTCCCCAGGTGAGGAAGCAACTTGAGGCAGTTCTCTCGGTTTTTCATCGAGCTGGCGAGTGGAGGAGACGGGACTGAAAGCCAGGCACAGGGGCCCTGACTCACTTTCTTCAAGCTTTCGTATGTGGCTCCTTCACATGTTGGACGTCGATACCTGTAAACCTCTTTGTGCAGGATTGTGGTGACCAGTGCATGAAGGACCCCTTTAGGCCATCTTTTTTTTTTTTAAAGATTTTATTTATTTTTTTGACAGAGAGAGACATAGCGAGAGCAGGAACACAGGCAGGGGAAGTGGGAGAGGGAGAAGCAGGCCTCCCGCAGAGCAGGGAGCCCGACGCGGGACTCGATCCCAGGACGCTGGGATCATGACCTGAGCCGAAGGCAGACGCTTAACGACTGAGCCACCCAGGCACCCCTCCCCTTTAGGCCATCTTATGGGGACACCACGTGTTCCTCAGTGGTTCTGATGCCGCCTCCGTCCTCAGTGGTAGAGCCGTGCATGTCATTATACGGGACTTGGCTGGTTACAAAAATGAGAGGAAATATCCTCAACAGCAAGTGATAATTGCCTTTTGTTGTGGCCAAGGTAAAAGGCACCTCTGGTGATGCTTGTTTTGCTTCCCTTCCCTTGGCCAACAGTGTTCTCTTTTGAGAAAAAAGGGAGAAAAAAAATACACGTATAATGTCAAAATTACATTAAGGGTTATTGTGTTTAAAAGAGAAGTATAATTACTAGTAGTAGTTATAGAATTGGTAATCATAATTAGAGTATTAATGGTAGTATTAAGAATGATTATTATTATTTTTTAAAGAATTTATTTTAGGGAGAGAGAGAGCACAGACAGGGGGAGCGGGGAGGAGGGGCAGAGACAGAGGGAGAAGCAGACTCCCTGCTGAGCAGGGAGCCCCCGATGTGGGGCTCGATCCCAGGACCCTGAGATCATGACCTGAGCCGAAGGCAGATGCTTCACCGACTAAACCATCCAGGTGCCCCAAGAATGATTATTCTTCAGGGAACAAACTGCCGTGCACCACCCCCCCCAGATGGCATGTGAATATGTTTGGCCTCTTGGCCTTGAGGTTGCTTTTGAGGAGAGCATCGTATGGGGTGGGGGGGGCCACCTGTATGGTGAGACATGCCTTGAGCTTGGGGTCAGAAGATCTAAGTAGAGGTTTCATCCCCGGTGTTTTCTAGTTGAATGTCCTTGTCGTACTGTCATGATGTCGGTTGGCACGTGGTGGGTCTGCCTGGGAGACCCAGGAGGCCCAGCAGTCTGGCGTGGCTCGGAGGGTGCATGGGGGCCTCACGTGGGGTCTCAGAAATCCAGTCACACTCGGGCCCTGGAAGCTCCCCTGCTCTTCTGAGTGGAGGTTTGGGTGACGTCACGTGTCACTGCCTTGAGATTGATGTGAGTTAAGAGATACTTAATCAGGAATTTCTTTGTTCCAGAACTTTCTAGAGTGGCTGAGGCTAACGATTGTTCCGCACATTCAGGATGGGATGGATCAGTTTTTTCTCTTTTCACTTTTCTCCTTGCTTAAAAGCAATTTAGATAGAGCACCTTTTTAATCTAGAGGTTTGTCATAAATGAAGAATATTTTCTCAACTGAAATAGCTTTAATTTAATAAAAATCCTTGGTGGTAACATGTTGTTTCGCTTCTGCTTGCAGGGTGAGGGAGCATGAACGGCCTTGAATGTGCCCCTGGGCTTATTTAGCCATTCGCTTTTCATTAGGAGAAAGAAGACGGCCATCCGCTTGAGAGGTGTGTAAAGATTTCTGTGCAACTTTTTATCCTAAAGATTTCAGACATATGGAAGAGTTAGAAGAATGTGCAGTGAGTTCCTGTGTATCCACCGCCTACATTTAACACTTGTTAGCATTTTGCCATATTGTGTGTGTGTGTTTGTGTGTGTGTGTGTGTGTGTGTGTGTGTGTTTGAGGGCTTGTACATTTTTCTGCTGAAGCATGTAAAGTAAAAGTAAGTTGTAGGCATCATGACATTTTATCCTAAATTCTTCGAGATGTAGCTCCTAAAAATAAGGATATTTTCCCTTGAGAGGCATTTTAGAACGTTCATAAACTATGTGACGTAGAGTCATTTAATTAAACACAGTTATAATTTCCTGTTGAAAGGTGTAATTTTGGATTTATGATCCTTTCGTAGCCAATGTAAATGAAGTCAGGTTTTCAAAAATCTTTAAGCAGTGATTTATTTAACGGACAGATAGGCAGTGCGAACCTGTTTGGTGTGAGAACTGTCTGCACGTAAAGGATTGGAATTTGCACTTGCCCGTGTGTCCTGCATAAGAGGATGGCCGTGTTTCCCTTGTTCCATGTGCTCTGCCCGTCTGCGCCCCTGGGGCTGGTGTTCCTGCGGCTTTCACAAGTAGACTAGTCGCTGTGCTTGAACGGGATCGAAGATCTTCACGGAGTTTTGAACCTGAACTCCCAGGAGAATGTGCCAGGGATATGCAGTCATGTCAAGTTGAGGTTACTGTGTTGAAACCAGTGTCCAAGACATTCACGGTGATTCCCAGCGCCATGATTTGACTACCCGAATTGAAACTTCCTATCAAATCCTGCAGGTGTGTTCCACTGTGATTGGAGGTGTAGATGGTGACGTGTCACAACCAATCACACAGTCACTTGCTACCACTCGGTGGTTCTGTGTGGCTGTGCGCTGTCCCACGGGCTACCCTCTGCTGCACGTTGATGGGCTCTCTCTCAACGGGCCCTGGGAGCCCAAGCATTTCTTCGTAGATGTTTATGAGCTCCAGTTGCCCGTTTAGAGCATGATTTTAGAAGAAGTCTATTTATAAGTGAGCCTTATAGGGCAGTGGAGGCTTCTTAAGATTCTTGTGTCTTATTTAGGACACAAAGTGAGAGCAGTGAAGTTTCTTGGAAAGACCCCAGCATTCCGAAGGAGCCGTGACTGGAGTTGTAGCGCTCTCAGAACGATCTAGTTTGGTTTTTTGCTTTTTGGCCTCTGGTTAGGCTTTGAAAAGATGATGATGAGGAGGAATGAGGCTCCATTTGAGGCAAAAAGGCTTTGACAGATTGAGAAGAGAAAGGTGTCTGGGGCCCCGTGTGGGGCTTCAGTTCGCTCTCTGCCCCTGGGGTAATGGTTTTTTTCTCTGTCTGTTGAACTAGGGTATGCATACAGAAAGTGCAGTCTTGTTACATATACAGCTCAGTATAATTTCACAAACTGAGCACTCCCCTGTGACCAGCACCCGGATCAAGAAGCAGAACATTTCCACCACAGCCTCATGCCCCCATCTGGACCGTACACACCACCTCGCTCCATGGGTAGCCACGCTCTTGACTTCTAAGAGCATAATTTCATTTTGTCTGTTGTTCTTTGTGTGTGTGAATGTGTGTGTCGTATATAATGCAGATTGTACTGTTTTGTGTCTGGCTTTTGTCATTCAACAGTATATTAGGTTATCCCATATTGTTGCAGATAGTTACAGATTGTTCATTTTCATTGCTATGGAGCGTCGCATTGTGTGAGAATAAACCAGTTTTTTCATTCTGTTAGATGCAGGTAGTTTCTGCGGGGGGGGGTGGGTGGTTCCCCCGGCAGAAATGAGGATTACACGGGGTTTTATCCCCGTGGCTACAGTGGAGGCCGTCCTGGGTGTCCAGTTTCTGCTGTCCCATGAAAGAGGAATCCAGGGGCAGACAGAAGGTGGAGACACGGCTGGGAGAGTGTGTGTGGTTTCTCAGTCCTGCAGAGATTCCCGCTGCTCTTCCTGGGGCTCAGCACGTCCCTTCCCACCTCGGTCCCCTGCTGACACACGTTTTCTGCCCCCTCTCCTCTACCACTTACCCCTCAGAGGTGACCATGCAGAATAGATCAGACAACCGGCCACTGGTGAATAAAGTTCATTAGGTGCTGATACTAGATGTTTGACGGGGAAAGTCATGGGCTTGCTCTGGAACACCTGTGCTGTGGGTATGGACCCACAGGGGGCGCGTGGGTCACAGCCCTGGAAGCCAGCTGTGCCGCGGAGTTGAGCGTGTAGATGCGGAGGCTTGTGTGGGCCAGGCCTGTAACAGGACAGGAACTGGGGGGGGGGGGGGGGGGGGGGCGGGGGGTTGCTCAGTAAGGGGGGATGGGCACTGCGGAGTACGAGTACATATGTACTGCCCAATTTTTGACCCAATAAAATGTGTCTGGCCGAATTCGGCACGCCCACCGATTTCGAACCTTTAGGGAATAGAATGTTCGTTGTGTAGAAGTGGTTCCTGTGGGATTTGGGTGTGTTTATGGCTAAATTTGGTTTCTGTAAGTAAAGTTTTATTCAAACACAGTCATGTTCATTTGTTCATGGTTCGTCTGTGACTGCTTTCGTGCTGCGACAGCAGAATCGAACGGTTGTGAAGGAGACCAGGGTCCGTAGCTCCGGCGGGGATTGATGGCCTGCAAGACCTGGCATGTTTGCTGTCGGCGCTTTACTTCATAAAAGCGAGGGCACAGTGGTCATAACCTCTGTAGTTTTGAAATAGTCTGAGCCCATTAATTTTACTGTGAATGCTTTTATTTTTTCATTTATTTATCCAACAAATATTTACTGAGAAGCTACCCTGTGTCAGGGGTAATGAGCTGGCAATAGTCGCGTAGGCTCCTGCCCTTGTGGAACTTACGAGGGGCTTCTGTGAGCTGGAAGCTCCGCCCCAGGACTGTGCTTTCTATGCATCAGAGCAGAAGCATGAAATGGAAACGGAATGACCGCATCTTCAGTTTTAAGTGAGTGTAT